TCTCTCTCTCTCTCTCTCTCTCTCTCTCTCTCTCTCTCTTTCTTTCTTTCTTTTTCTTTCCTCTCTCTTTCTCTCCCCACCCCCCGTGCATGCCTGCCCACTTCCTGAACTGGGCATTGAATCCAGAGCCTTCACCGTGATCTATATATCCATATACCAAACCCCTTTTCAAGTTGAGACAGAGTCTCTGTAATTTACTAGTTGCCAGGCTATGTTTGAATTTGCGATCATCATGCCTCAGTTCACAGGGTACTGGGATTATAGGTTTACACTTGCAATCCAGGTGGAAATTTCTTCATGTGGAATGAAACTGTCATAAAAGAAGAAGTATGGGGAAAAGCATTAAAAAACAGGAGTATGAACAAGGTGGTACAATTATCACTTTAATGCTGATTTTGCCCAGTAGTATTATGAATTATTGGATGCTATGTTCCAGTTGCTCTGTCTCTTTGCAGAAGTGTCTTTGACTTAGGTAAAGAATTTTAGGTAGAAAAAAGCACTAAGTATAATATGAATTAGAGAAGAATTTTTAAAATTCTGTTTCTTGAAATATGCTACTGAACAAAATGAAGACTGTCACTAGGATACATTTTTTCTATATATATTTGACGAAAGACTTTTTTTTCCCTGTATTTTAGGGAAGGGTCTACAGGGTGTTCAGGGTTTCACTACTAGATGGGATTTGTACTGGTCTGCCTATTTACAGTCTCCCAAGAGCTGGGATTACAGGCACGTGCCATGCCCAGTCTCAATAGCTGTCTCAGCGTGCCTTGGGGGTGGGGCCGGCACAGCAGGCAACAAAAGACTTAACTAGACTTAAAAATGAGACAAAATAGTCAAATAAGCTGTGTTCATAAATATAGAAAGTATCTATTGCAATAATCAGGGAAATTTAAATAAAATAAGTATTTCATAGTCAATGAAAGGCTAAATTTGTTCATTTATTGTTCTTACACTTACTTTATGGAAAGAAGGTCAAACAAAATTTCATAGCAACATAATAGGAGAATAACAATAGTTAATGCATTGCATATTATCATCTTTAAAGTAGTTATTCAGAGTACAATATATGGACATCAAAATTTCTCCAATCAATATTAGCACAAGTCTTCCTTTTCAATGAACTAAGAGATACTAATGTATAACTGACTTGCATTTGTTCCTTTTCCCTTCCATCCTGGCCCCTTTGCTCCATAATAGTTCTTTTTTCCTTTTGAATGATTTCTTCTCAAATGTACATTTTAGATTTTAATCTCTCTCTCTCTCTCTCTCTCACATCAGATAGTCAAGACAATGTTTACACATTTGAGTCTGACTTATACTCACAGATGAGTATTGTCCCAAGTTGCCTCCATTTACCTATAAAATTCTTAAATTTCTCCTTCCTTATGATTTAGTAGTACTCCACTGTATAAAAAACATGTCTTTTAAAATCCATTCCTTATTGATGGGCATTTAGGTTGTTTCCAAGATTTAGCTATTACAAATCCTGCTACTATAAACATGGGTGCACATATATTGCTGTGGTATGACATTTTTAATTCTTCTGGGAAGATACCCAGAAGGGGCATAGCTGGGTGAAATAGGACCACCAATCCTAGTTTTTTGAGTAGTCTCCACACTGATTTCCATAGTGGTTGTACCAGTGTGCACTTCCACCCAAGTGAAGAAGGGTTACTTTTTCCCCCACAACCCCTCCAGCATTTGTTATTGGTTTATTTCATGATATTTTTAAAAAGAGAATAAAATAATTATAAAAAACTAGAAATGATACAGAATTTCACTAAAAAAGATAGGAATTCAATATGCTGGATGATTAAATTTATTTTTATTTTTTATGTATTTGGTATAGGGTATTACTATGAGCTTTGGACTCAGTGATCCTCCTGTTTTCAGCCTCCCCAGCACTGGTATTACAGGTGTGCATTACCACACTGGGTCTCCATGGCTGGTTCAGTGAGCTAGGATGTGTGTGTGGGGGGTGCCCAGCATGTGGTGCCAGGGATTGAGCACCAGTCCCTGCATTTGCCTAAGCAGGTGCTTAGTCTGCTGAGCTATCTTGTGGCTCTTGGGATGGCTAAATTTAAAATACTGACAATAATAATTCATGAGCTCCTGGTATCCTCACTTATTGCTGGTGAACAATAAGTTCACCAGTAAATGACATAAACATGTTGCAAAAGACTGTAGCAGAGTTATGTAATATTAAAATGACACATTCTTTACAATGTAGAAAATCTACCCCTAGGTATTTACCAAAGTGGAATGGAAAAAATATGTCTGCCAAAATACTTGTGTATGGTTATCTATAGCAGCTGCATTTATGCTAGGCATAACTCAAAAGCAACCCATGTTTCCTTCAACTGGTGAGTTTTTCCTGTGATCAAATACTACTTAGCAATAAAATGCAGTTTATTACTAGAAAACAAATAAATGAAGCTCAAGACTTTATGCTGAGTGAAGGAAATTTGGTGCAAAATTGTATAAATGAATAACATTTTGATGGAATCTAAGGGCTGGGGAGATGGCTCAGTGGAACAAACACTTCCCTGGCAAGCACAGGGTCCTGAGTCCAATTCCCGGTTCTGAAAAAAACAAAAAGTTGATGGACTCTAAAAGCAAGCAAAAATAATGTATAGCTATTGAAATCAGATAGCAGTTCCTCAGGACAGTGGTGGATATTCATCATACTGGGAACTTTTTATGGCAATGAATCATTCATTTGGTTTGGGTGGTGGTTGTATGGGTATGTAAATTTGGCAAAAATTACTGAACTATTTGTTTAAATTCTGTATATTTTATTATGTTTCAACTATATCTCAATAAATATTCATACACTAAATGTAAATGGCCAAGGACAAGAAACATAAAAGTGAATGCCTGAAATCCAGCACAACTTATAAACAATGAAATATAAATTAAAATAATTTCATGGTATTGTAACATCAAATTGTTTCAATTGTATATAAGAAATAGGAAAAGTTATGCTCATATATCATTGCTAGTAGAACTGTAATGAAAAAGAGCCTTGATAAGAACAGTTCTGAAACATCTTTTTCAAAAATTAGCACATATAGCAATTTAAAACGCTAGGAATTTATCTTCAGAAAAGTGAACTAAATTAGGGACAAATGAATAAGTGCCAAAACCATGCAGGGTTCTCATTGGAGAGAGTAGAATGGTAGTTAAAAGATTTCAGGGAAGATGTGAAGAAAAGGGAGTAAAAAGAGCTTATTTAATGGGTGCAAAGTTACAGAAAGATAAAAGAAAGAAATTCTGGTCTCCTGCATAGCAGAATGATGATCATGACATTTGCATATTTCAAAATAGAGAAAATTTTGAAGGCTCTCATGACAAAGAAATGAATG